GGGCACTGGACAAACTGCTCTCCATCATGGATACTCCTGCGCACCCACTGCACCAGACTCTAGAAGCACAGAGGAGCTTATTCTCCAACAGGCTCCTACAGCTCTGCTCAAACAGTGAGAGATACAGGACTACATTAACACCATACTCCATACAAATGTACAACAGGTCACCCTTAGGTAACAGATAATACTCCCTACAACTGTACAACAACTCACCCTTATGTAACAGATAATACTCCCTACAACTTGTACAACACCTCACCCTTATGTAACAGATAATACTCCCTATAACTGTACAACAACTCACCCTTATGTAACGGATAACCATATGTCCAGTCAATCATCATATCATCGTTGCACATATTATGTGTTGCACATTGTCTTGCTGTGACCTCTTGTATATAGCTGTGGTTTTATATTTTATTACTTATCATTCAATTTTATTTTGACTTGTACACTTACATTTATGTAATTCTATTTGTATAATTCATTTATATAATGTCTTATTTGACACCTTTCTCTTGCCATCTTTTTTGCTACTTATTTAGAATTTATTATTACTATTTACATTTTCGCTCTGTGTTATTATATTATATTGTAATGTATGAGCAACTACTGTAAAATAATGAGCACGCGCGGACACATACTGCTGCTTACCCACCTGCTCAGGTGGAAACAACAGGGACAAATGGACTACAACCATGGATGTGCGACTACAACTCCCAAACCACAATTTAGTTTTGTGCATGCTCAGTAGACGGGCCGCGCGAACACATGCGGATATGCCGAGGTGTAAAATGGCGGTGTGAGTGATACGAGCGTTTAGTCTAAAATACAGCGGATTTAACTCAGAGATTCTTTCTTTGTGTGAAGTAATATTTCACAGATTACTGGAGAAACAATTTACGAAAAGGTATGTGATCTTTTGGTTGTTTTAAGCTGAGACTGTCTTTAATGATTTGCCTCATTTTTGCGTTTACCATAGGCTTTAGCAGCTAGCAGCGATACAGGCTAACGTGAATCGGCTCAAATGTTGATAGCCGCGACACCAGTTTTAACACATCTTTAAATACATAACATTTGCATTTGTGGTCATGTTACGTAGATTTTCACGTTTCTCAACCACAACAATTAACGTTATAAATTCGGACATAGCGTGAGAAAATAACTTGATCTATACTGTTAATAATCGTAAATAAAACTCTTAATATGTGGCTCTGTTTTCACTGAGTTATTTCTGATTGCCGCTGTGTTGCACTTAATGCTCACTACAATACAATAAAATACATAATATATTTCCTCAAATGCCTAGTATAGTAGCCAGTATAATGGGAAATTAATGTTTAAAGTTGTCTAAACAACATTGTAGGTATGGCCAAGAGAATTGCAGACAAAGAGCTAACTGACCGAAACTGGGATCAGGAAGAAGAGGGAGAGGAGGTAAGTAATTGGGGTGGGAATCACTGTTGTCATTTTTGACAATGACATATATTGGCTGTTACTTGAATAATGTAAGAATTTTATGTTTATTTGATGAGAGTACATAATATGATCCCATACCTTTTATTATTTATCTTGTAGGTACAATTTTTTTAATTCCCTGTATTATTTTCCAGGCTGGGACGTTTTCTATGGCGAGTGATGATATTTTAAAGAATCGTGCTATTAAAAAGGCCAAGCGCAGAAATGTTGGATCAGAGGTAAGTATGCCGTCTTAACGTTCAAGTCTTATCATCCAGAGTTGTAGACATGAAAATTGTTGGTCTTATTAGAAATTTTTGTTACCAAAATGGAACATCCAACTGATTTGTAAATGTTTGTTTTTTTGCTAGGCTGATGGTGGTGGAACCTTTAAAGGTTTTAAGGGATTCTCTCTGACACCGTCGACGACAAGTGCAGGACCAAATTCAACATCTTTTTCAGGTTTCGGCAATGGTGGCAGTTTCAAAGGTTTTGGAGGTTTAAGCAATGGAAATGGTGTCCCTTCTTTTGGAACTTTCACATCACCTCCCACATCCACCACTGCAACTGGTATGAAGTTTTGCAATATGCAAATAAATACACTATATTTGCTTAGTCAATTCTAATCTGAGGTAGGTGTTAACATTTTGTGACAGTGAAATGACAGTGAAGTTAAGGGACTTAGAGCTTAGTTGCAAAATTGTAACTGACATCCCTCTTTTTGTGTTTAGCATTCAACGGCTCCGCCTCCTCTAGCATCAGTGCTGACATCACTACAAAACAGACCAATGGCTCATCCCTGAGCCCAGCTCAAAGCGCAGCCTCCAGTAGCAGCACCAGTTATAAGGAGTACAGTCGACAACTCACTGCACTTAACTGCTCTGTGCGGGACTGGATCACCAAGCATGTCAATGACAACCCATTGTGTGATCTGAACCCCATCTTCAGGGATTATGAACGCCACCTGACCAGCATTGAGAAGAAATATGGGACTGGAGCGACCGATGTCAACTCTGGGGAGAAGCCAGCAGTTCCAGCAAACACAGCTCCTCCTCCAGCTGCTTCTTTCAGTTCTTGCAGCAGCAGTCCAACTCCAGCTTTGTTCTCATTTGGGAAAGGGCCTGATGAGTTGACCCAAAACAAAACCACATCAGTTCCCACTGGTGTTTCTTTTAACTTTGGTCAGAAGGTGGACAGTACAGTTTTGTGCTCATTTGGCTCAAAGTCCACAGCTCCAAGTTTCTCTTTCTCTTCTGGCAATACTTCAACTCAGAGTCCCCTCTTTGGAGCAACAAGCTCCCAACCAACGTTGTCCTTTGCAGCACCAAAAAGTGAAAACACACCACAAACAGGTATCTGTGTTTTTACTTCTATTAGAAATATGTGATCATCCTGAACCTAATTATTAGTTATGGGCAAGTGCTCTTACAGAGATATGAGCTTGTTTTTTGTTTGTTAAACCATTTATTTTAAACATGAATTAATCAAGATATTAATTCTGTCACACAGATGAAAATGGAGATGAAGAAACTGAAGAACCGCCGAAACCTGAAGTCAAGGAAGTAAAAGAGGAAGATGCTTTCTATTCCAAAAAGTATGTCACAGTATACATCAGAAGACATTACATTATTAAATGGTTTCGCTTAGTGCATTGACTACAGTGTTTTTTGTTTTGTTTTGTTTTTTTTAAACTTCAGGTGTAAAATGTTCTACAAAAAGGATTCTGAATTTAAGGAAAAAGGAGTGGGAACTTTGCACTTGAAACAAAATGGAGAAGACAAAACTCAAATGATAATTCGAGCTGACACCAATCTGGGTACGTTTTTGGTATTTACAGTGCTACTTCACTGCTATACCTATGTCCAAACCTTGCATGATTTATTTTAACCATGATGGTGTGATTTCTAACAATTTAGAAGTCTTTTTCTGAATGAAGGGGCAAGTTTGATGGTTTGTGTGTGAGAATAGCTCCACCTGGTGGTGGTGCCACCTTCCTGCACCTTAGGCTAGTAAATGATCAAGCCTGTGAAACCATATTTAGTTCTTTTTTTTTTAAAAAGATGGCGACATAAGCATAATGTTAATCATGATATGTTGTGTCTCATTGTTTTCACAGGAAACATCCTACTGAACATCATTCTACAGTCATCCCTACCATGTTCCATGGTCGGCAAGAACAATGTTATGCTTGTGTGTGTTCCCAATCCAACCATTGATGACAAAAACCCCAGTACTCCTATCCCACTTCTCATACGTGTCAAGACCGAGGAAGACGCCAAAGAGCTCCTTAAAATTTTGGAGGAGAAAAAAGGCTAAAACTTCCTTAATCACCTTTTGGTGCATCTCACCCCTCTGCCCATATCCTCCTCTTAATTAACCCCACTGGTCTCATATTATTGACCATACCACAGTTTGTTTTTTTTTTGTTTTTTTTAAATAACACATGCACATTTGAACTGAATTCATCTCCAGTAATTTGATGGTTATACTGTGAAATATTTGTTTTTGATACATCACATGTTTTCAAGTAGGCTCTGATATTCACAGCTACATTCCACTTGCTGCTGTTTTATTAGAAATTTGGCAGTGTATCTTTTCGCTTCTTTATTTGAATTTTACTTTTTTGGAGGAAGTGGTGTTATGACTTGAGAGTGTATATCCATACAAATTATTGTACAGAGTTAGCAGATTTTGACATTTGGAGAAACTAAGTCTCCAAGTAATAGTCCGTTCAATTTGGTTTTACAAATTAAACACATGCGGTGACAGTAAATGTTATAATGGCAGAGGTTTTAGTTTAGTTTCTTTTGGAGTGTCTTTTGAATGTTTTTGCTCTGGAAACTATTTATTGCAACAGGTTCTTGTTTGTTTCTAAATGATTGAACCCTGTGTGTATGTTTCCCCATAAAGCTTCTTAAAACTATGTGGAAACCAACATTTTTACGTAAACAAGCGATCTGTGCTTTTCCAAGTGTCCTTTGTGTGGATATCATTCTGGCCTTTTAACTAGAGGCACGCTGTCATTGTCAAAGAGCAATTGTGAAGACATTTATTGGGGAATAAAAAAGAGGAAATAGCAACCTTTTATCTTTTTTAATTTCTAGTGAAGAAAATACAGTTCCATTGTGTAAATAAAATTTTATGTTTAGTGACGTTAAAGTGTTATTTGTCCATTCTCCTTTTCGCCGTGTTTCCCTGAAGATGATGGAGAAAAATAGACATAAAGTAGCAATGTTTTAAGGTGCTATCTCAGTGTTACAGACATTACACAGTTGTATCTTAAATTCATTCAATTACAGGTAGTTTTATAAATACCTACGAAAACAGGCATTCTGACTTGAGGTCGCTTCTCCACAGATTTTGCCATGCTGACATTCCAGACATTCCAAGGCAATATCTCCATGAGAAAAGTATTTGACGGATTCTGCCAGAAAAGTTTTTTTTATTGATTTATGATACATATATACAAATATACAATATATACACTACACACATATACAACAGAAAAGTTACTAGATCCATGGAGCTGCATGGATCTATTAGCACTTCCTGTGCCGGGTGTGCCCGACCCGGATGCTAAACGGATGGACACGCCGCACCGTGGCTTCTGTCGTGTGCGTGAGTTAAAAAGCGTAGCATAGACGACTTCTTCATGGTTTGGATTCAAAACAAAGGCATCTGATGTTTCGTTAAGGTGGGTATTTAAGAGCGCACGTTTTTACCTGAGAAAAGTGTAAGCGATGGTAAGGTGTCTGGCATCGTGTGATTTTTTTTTTTTTTTTTTTTTTTGTCCCCTTAGCGATGATGTGAATGAAGCAACGTTGGAGAAACATCAGTAACTAAATGATGCTAGTTGTGATCCACCCGGACTGAAAAATAAGATTTATCCTTTAAATATTTGTCCAGGGTTATTGAGCCAGATTTGCTGTTTGTTCGAATACCTTATCAACTGAAAAATATTCTTTATTTTACCATCTGGAAGACTAACCTTTAGCCTAATTTAGCCGTAGCTTGCCGTTAGCTTCCGATGCCTACGGCTTGTAACGCTGAGTTGTCAACTTTTTAGGAGTAGTGTCTGTGTCACATTTGCCAGACCATCAGTACTGTCTACCCCATGTTAACGCCAACAACAGACTGTTTTTCCATCTGAGGTGTTTTCGGTCATTAGTGCTATGTTGCATCACTCCGGTAAGAAATGACTCAGTCCGTCAAATGTGCTGATGTCGCCATAAGCTTTAACGTTAGCCCTTAGTAGTCTTTGTCATAAGCATATAAGTAGACAGTGTTTGCATATAACTACATTGTGGTACAAGATGCTATCATGAGACCGTTGTATGCAGTAATTCTCACACACACAACTTTGCTGCATGCTGCACCACGTTGCATGGAGCCTTTGAGCCTTGTGTGATTTTTGATAAAACAGGACTGAATCAGGTTTTTCTACTCTTTGAATTATGGTGATTTTGTTAGCACACTTCTGCAATGGTTCTTGCAAACTTTCCATGTGTAATAATTAGGGCTGCAGAATTAATCGAGGTCTAGATTCTCTAATACTCAGTGATGTGATTGCTTGATTGTCTTTTAATCCAGAGATCTACAGCCTATTCTGTCCGTTCAGACTTTAGAGGACATTTGTAAATGGGAATTAATAAAATATTGTATTGTTGAGGTTCAGGAGATTAAAGATACAGTACTGTGTTTTGTTTGGGTTTTTTTTTTTACAAGACAAAATGCTATTGTATAGACATTTTTGTTTAATCAGTACCCAGCCCTATGCATTATTTTTTTCATTCAGAAAACCAAAATGTCTTCTCTAAAGACTCAAAAACATGCTTTGGTTCAAATATAGATATTAATATGTACCTTAATAAATAAAAATCTATATTCTACAACAATTCTGAAGAGTTGAGTCATTGTATTGTAATTAGCTAGTCTTGCTGTGTTGATTTTAACCAGCTGATCTGTGTCAGCAGATGAGAGAGTTTCACCTGTCATCTGAAGAGAGGAGTGAATCTTCCACAGACCACAGCTAACACACTAATGGCCTGCCAGTCTGTCACTGCAGTCATGGACGAGCAGGCCCTCCTGGGACTCAACCCCAATGCTGATGCCCGCTACAGGCAGAGGGTAACCATCCTTATTTACTTTTACTTCTATGGTTTTCTCAACAAGGCATTATTTAGCCTCCAGGTACTGCATGTTATCTTAACATACTCTGTTACGTGCTTAAGAGTGTTAAGAAAGTTACTCAAAATCAAATGTATTTGAACAGTTTAAGAAAATATACTGTAAGTTGTATACTTTTAATATAATAATGTTTTGTTTCATTATCTACCAGGCGATGGCATATTTTGAGCAGCTGAAGGAGTCTCAGGATGCTTGGGAGGTGTGTGCAGAAGCCCTTGCGAAAGGAATTTATAAGTGAGTAAAGATGAAAGACTTTTTTTTTTTTTTTTTGCAGAATTATGATTTGTCATAAAATATATCTTTGATCTTTTTTCAGTGATGACCATGTGAAGTTTTTCTGTTTTCAAGTTTTGGAACATCAAATTAAGTTCAGGTTAGTTGTTGATGATAATTTCTAGCATCAAATACAACATTAAAACATGTCTTATGTCTCCATACTTTGTTAGGGCATGTTATGCATGACCTTTGTCAACTATGCAAACACAAAAATCTTATTTTATGGTGACCCAAAGCAAACTAAAGAAAAGTCAGTACTCTGTATTTATCAAATATTGTGGCTATGAGGCTTAAAAACTTGTGTACCCCTGTCTCCACCCACAGATCTTACTGGCTTCCATTTTAGACTCCTGGTCACATAGCTATTGTTAAAAAATAAAAACCTTGTAAAAGAAATTCAACTGCTTGCTACTGTGAATTGCCACTACATTTTAACATTTGTTTTACTCAGTGTAAGGAATATGTTATATGTTCAGATGTTCAGAACATCAGCACCATGAACAAATACATTTTAATTCACATGCTATGATGGCAATTATCAGTAATTATTAACCAGCTTTATACAGTCTTTCATCTGTAATATGTGAATCCCTCTCAGAGGACTTAATTATATTTTATCTTCTATTTATGTTTGTTTAGGCATGCTGGTCTGAGTGCTCCTCAACAACAGCTCATCAGAGAGTGCCTGATGAAGTGGCTCCAGTGTCAGGTACAACAACAGTACTTTTGAGGGGCTATTTTTATATGTCTTTACATGCTAACCTGTGTCAGACAGGACTGTGCATGTGCACTGTGCATAATTATTAGGCAAGTTGTATTCATGAGAATTAATTTTATAATTGAACAACTACAGTGCTCTTGGTCAACCCAAAATGTTAATAAACCTCAAACCTGAATAAAAGTAAAAGTGAAGTTTTGGCTTCCATCTATGAAAATCTATGTGTGCACAATTACTGGGTAGAATTATTACGCAACTAAATAAAAAAATGAACATTTCTCACTTGTTTATTTTCATCTGTCAGAATAACAAACAACTGAAAATGTACAAATAAACATTTCTGACATTTAAAATAATAATCAGTGACCAATATAGCTTCCTTCTTCTCAATAATGGTCATAAGCCTTCCATCCATAGTCTGACAGTTTCTTGATCTGTTGATGATCAACTTTTTGAGCAGCAGCAACCACAGCCTCCCAGACACTGTTCGGAGAGGTGGACTATTTTCCTTCACTACAAATCTCCCATTTAAGAATGGCCCACAAGTTCTCAGTAGGGTTTAGGTCCGATGAGAAAGGCATGCGTCGAAGTACTCCACTGTGTGGCTAGCCAGTAAAGGCCTTAAAGATGAAAAAAATGACATGAGATGAGACTTTTTCCTGTACCACTGCTTGAAGAAGGGGTCTTCTAAACACTGGGTAGGTTTTGGAGTTCATTTTGAGTCCATATTCAACCCAAAAAAATCCAACAAGCTCATCTTTAATAATTCCAGCCCATATCAGTACCCCACCTCCACCTCGCTGGCGTGAAAGTGGAGCTCTGTACCCATTACTGATCCAGCCACGGGCCTATCCATCTGGTCTGTCAAGAGTCACTCATCTCTTTAGTCCATTAAACGTTTGAAAAATCTGGCTTCAGATATTTCTTGGTCCAGTCTTGACGTTTCAGCTTGTGCTTCTTGGCCGAGCACTGAACACTTTGTTTTTCTGGCCACACCAAGTTGTTTGCAGTTCTTCAGAATGACAGTGCTAGAGGATAATAGGTTCCTGGTAGATTCATGTTTGATTCTTTATTTGCAATAAAACATGGTTCAGTGATCATGTCCCAATATCTTGGCAATTTCAAGAGTGGTGCATCCCTATGAAAGACTTTTTGACTTTTCTGAGTCAGTTAAATCTCTTTTTTGGCCCATATTGCCTGGGTTAGGTTCAGGAAAAGAAGCCTAATAATGCCTAATAATTCTGCACACCTTGATATGAGGGTGTTGATCTCCTTAGCCACACCCTGCCTCATTAGACAAATGCACATCAATCATCTGATATGCGTATAAGAATTCATAAGAATTCTAGTTTATACACCTTGGGGTTGGAGAATATACATAAAAACCATAATATGGTAATAATTGTGCATACAGTGTATGCTTCAAGCTTCTATTTGTGCACACAGAGGTTTTGTAAAACAGGCTACTAATACTTCGATATTTTACAACCAGAGAGATACAATATTTTCTTGTGTGTCTGTAGTACATTTGTAATGCATTATTCCATTGTTGGTGGTTTGCTGACCCCTCTGTCTTTGATTGTTAATTAACTTTATCTTCAGGTAACCATGTAGTAGTATGTTTATATACTGCTCAAAAATATTAAAAGAACAGTTTAAAAAAGCATCAGATCTCAATGTGTATAATATATCTATACAAAAATTGACAGGGCAATGTCTTGGGGACGAAAGGATGCCACATCTTTTAATGGAAATAAAATGTTCAGCCTACAGAGGGCTTAATTTTATAAACACCCTGAAAATCTAATTAAATAATGATGTCAGGATAGTCCATTTTGTCAAAATTGAATTTCTGCCACTCATAATGGTTAAAAAATCTTGTTGCTCCCATGTGCTTGTATGTCAGATTGATGTATTCTAGCTGGTAGAGGTCTGTGCGTCCCTCCATGGATATGCCTCCCCAGACCATCACTGACCCACCAGACTACTCAGGGCACCAGTGGCGGACTTGCTAATTCATCTAGCAAATGCCAGTCGATCTCCACGGTGCTGGGCGGCTGGGTGGTGAGCACAGGGCCCACAACAGGATGTGGCACCCTCAAGTCACCCTCATGAAGTATGTTTCTGATTGTTTAGGCAGAGACATTCACACCAGTGGCCTGCTGGAGGTCATTCTGTAAGGCATGGGCAGTACTGAGCCTGTTCCCCCTTACACAAAGGAGCAGATATGGGTCTTGCTGATGATTTGAGGGCCTTCTACGGCCCTGTCCAGCTCTCCTAGAGTAACTGTCTGCCACTTGAAATCTTCATGTTCTGGAGATTGTGCTGGGAGACACATTAAATCTCCTTACAACGGCACGTCTGAATGTGCCATTCCTGGAGAAGCGAGAAGAAAATTCAGTTTGTCGACTGGACCAAAGTTGGTTTGACTAAAATCTTTAGCCAGAGAAAAGAATTGGTTTGAGAGGGGAGTGAAAGAAACCATTTTTGTTAAGAAAGAGAATCCTTCTCTAAACAGAAATGGAGGATTCAGACACCATGTATCTCCTATTTACAATTCCATCCTCAAAGCTAAATCAAAACAAACAAGAGAACAATAGGTTTAGCAAGGTCAGGTCCAGAGGTGTGGAAGCTCCATTATGGCCATTCATTGTTATGCTAATTAGACCCCACACCTGCACAGGTCAATAGGCATTGACCTGAATAGAATAGCATTCTGACCAGAACTGAAGAAGCAGCTTGGATGAGCTGCGAAACGTCTTCAACCAAACCAACTTTTGTCCAGTCGACAAACTGAATTTTCTCCTCGCCATGGATTCTACCTGGACGACTGAGGGATTCTTCACACATTCCTGGAGAAGTTGGACAATCTGTGCAGTTTCTGTAGGGTTAATGAAAGACTTCCTACTCCCAGTAGTGATAATCACTTTAGCCAAAGCAGCACTAGGGGAAAACCAAACCAAAAAAGACCAAGAGGGAGAAATTTGAAATGACCTCCACCTGCAAATTTAGTCCTGTTTTAGGGGCTGTCTCATTGTTGTCACTCTAGTGCACCTATCGTTCATTTCCATAAAAAGAGGTAGCATCCTTTTCTTCCTAAGACATGGCCCTGTCCGTATTTGTAAAGATATCCATCATATATTTTTTCACATTGAGATCAGATGCATTTTCAAAGTGTTCCTTTTGATTTTTTTGGAGCATTGTATTATAAATTACATTAATTGAATCTCATGAAAACATGGAAAAATAAGTTGTGTGCAATACATTTACATGGTACTGAATAGCTGTGTCTTTTCTTCTGTGCAGCTAATTAGTCCTCAGCCTGAGAAATCCTTCATCAGAAACAAGGCTGCTCAAGTGCTGGCCCTCACATTTGTCATGGAGTACCTAACTCTGTGGCCCAAATTCTTCTTTGATATTCTGTCACTTGTCGGTTCAAATCCTCACGGTGTTGATATTTACCTGCGAACACTCATGGCCATTGATGCGGAGGTTGTGGACCGTGACATCATGCACTCACCTGAGGCAAGTCTGGCAATCATCATTATCTGTGTATATTGTTAATCAGCATATTCACCTGGAGTGTCACAATATTAATGTGTCTTACACATACAATATTATGGTATTCACAATATTTGTATCAAACAGTTTTGCAGAAATGCCCAATTTCCTGCATTTGGTGTTAATCCTTACTGTCATTTACCAAAAAATAAAAATTAGGTGCTTAATAAGAATAATAAGACGCAAAATAAGACACTTCCATAATAAGTATAAATATACAACATACAATTGTTTGGTCTGTGTATCTTCCTCTTTGTTAGTGTTCACCTTTGCTGCCTTTCCTTTAATTTATGACAAAACTGTTTAGGATCTGTTTAAGTAATTTGTGATCACATTATGTTGATCATATGCCATGTCTTGGTTTAGGAGACGCGCCGAAATACTTTAATCAAAGATTCAATGCGTGAGCAGTGCATCCCCAGTTTAGTGGAGTCATGGTTCCAGATTCTGCAGACGTACCAGCAGTCACATCCAGAGCTCACATGTCTGTGTTTGGAGGTGGTGGGGGCTTATGTGTCTTGGATTGACCTCAACCTCATTGCCAATGATAGGTTAGTTGTACATTAATGTTACAAAGACTGGGATTAATGGGTATATTGGATGAACATAGTTTTGACAGTTTATTTCTTCATATGTTATTAGGTTTGTGAATTTGCTGCTGAGTCAAATGTCCATGGAGGAGCTCAGAGAGGAAGCATGTGACTGCTTGTTTGAAATAGTCAATAAAGGAATGGATCCTGTGGACAAAACCAAACTGGTCGAGTCTTTGTGCCAAGTATTGCAAAGTGCCGGCTTCTTCAATGTGGAACAGGTAAGTCATACATTTTATACAACTTAAATAGTGCCTAAATAGTGTTGCTATACATTGTATCCACATTTTCTTAGACCTAAGCACGCCATACACTACAGGATTTTTTTTTACCTTAAACAATTTTGAAACGCGTGACAAAAAGCACAGATCAGACACAAGGAGAATCTCATGAGATTTTAATCTTAAGATTACAAAGACTACAGTGGAGAGACATCACACCGCAAGCTAAAAGTTGTGAGCTATTAAAACTATAGCACACCCCACTTGTCTGCATTAAAACAACTCGGAATGTTGTGCAGTAGTTCAAATAAATGCTTTTAATGTACAATAGGCTGTCGATAAACTTCATAGGAAGTAGAAGTGTGTTTAGTAGCAGCTGTGTGGATTTATGTGAACAGAACTACGTGAGAATTTACTCTTGCCTTTTTACTTTTTAAAGAAGGCTACAGTTGGATTAATAGCACAATTTTGTGGATTGGGTGTCATTATTTGCAAAGGACACAATCTCTAATTGATAAGAAATGCTGGAGTTTAACTTTTCAACTTTACGATGGGTGAGTAATAAAGTTGCTTAATTATTTTCTCTATAGCCTAGGGGTGGCACGGTTCATGGAAAAAAAGCCAAACCGTTCGGTTCTCTTGTCACGATTCGGGACATGTGCGTATTGCACGGTATCCTTGGTTCCCAGCATGCGCATTGTAGCCTCGTGCCCCTATGTAACCTGTTTCGCTTTGGCACAAAAGAAGAGGTGTGGAGGGTGCGTGCTGCACGTCACGTGTAGAAATGGCAAGTAGGAGAGGAGGGCCACCTAGAAATGGAGGATGCGCCCTTGTCGTTACCTCGTGAAACCACAGCCACGCGTCAATGCAAAGACGGCTCCGACAGCTTGAGCAGTACTTACATGCGCAGCACTGGCTCTGTGTTTGTCATTGGGAAAGCCGATCAAATTTGACACGTTTAGCCACTTGTATCAGGTCTACGGTGAAACTAACAGCTGAACAGGCTTGTATTTAGAGAATAATAAGAGAAACTTCAACTCTTGCCACCTTCAAGTCCTCCTTAAGAGTGGCTAAAGAAAAACCAGACTTGTGGACACTTTTAGTATAGATTTGTTACTTGTTTTTGCTTTGTTTAAATTTGTGGTGTTACCTGCCTAGGGACTACAGATGGAAATTAGCAGTCTTGCTATAATCTGGCATATTTACACTGCAATGTTGTAGATGTTCATTAATATGCACTGTCCCTATTAATTAATTAATTAAATAAATAAATAAAATAAATATTTACCTTCTGCACAGGGTGACCAGGGCCAATGCAAGGATTTCAAAAGTACATTTTAAAGTGCTAATGAACAGTCTTTCTGGACCTGGGCTCTTTCACATGACACAGAACTGCCCCAGGAGCACGTTGGGCTGATGGTAAACGCACAAATACAACAATAGATGCTCTATATGTATTTTGACAGGGATATGCACCTACTCATGTAGAGCGACAAAAAAATAGGATGGATCCTATTTTCTGAAATCTACACACGCATGATACGCTGCTCCATATGCACATCTAGCGCTTACAATGAAGCCGCCCTCATTCACTTTCCACGCATTCCACATGTTGCAGTTTTTACGCTCGCGTAGGGCAAAATACACGTGCAGTGGAGCCAGGCCCTTAACCTTGCAGCCCAGAGTGCAATCTCACTAAACCAAGTATCCCAACTCCTGAGGAGGGTTAGGAAGGTGGTAACATTTTTTCACCGAAGCACAACAGCTGCCTATGTCCAATAATAATGTGCTTAAAGTCAAGTCAAATTCAGTTTGTGCATGATTACATTACTAACTATAATTTTATCACTTTTTTAATGCTGTATCCTAAATTGTGCATAATTAAGTTAACATAGCATATGATGAAGTGTATTTCTGGAGATTAAAGGTTAAAAAGAAAAAATGACAACAAGAACCATACAGAACCGAAAACCTTGACCGCGATCCGAGCCGAACCGTAAATTTTGTGAACCATGACACCCCTACTATAGCCTGAGTTTTGTATCTTGCGCCTCGGTCTGTCATTCCCCTGGTGCAGTAGCTGTGATGTTTTGTGATTACGATGTGACAGAGCAGCTCATGATTTCACTGATACCACACACAAGGAGTGTAGCAGATAAAAAATTGCATACGAAGATCCAAAGTTGGGTTTTTACCTTCCCGAAGTCAGGAAAAGAGCAAATAAGGTCCTAAATTATCCTGTAGTGTGTGGCAGGCTTAAGACAAATAAGGGAAATTACTTGCACATGGACGCTCACACATTACAATATAATGACAAGGGTATTTGGAAAAGCATTTTAAAACTTTGTTTCACTAGGAGGAGGATGTTGACTTTCTGGCAAAGTTTTCTCGGTTGGTAAATGGTATGGGGCTGAGTTTGGTGCAGAGCTGGACTAAGTTGGCAAAAGCTGGAAATGTAAAGGAGGCAGCTGACACTCTCCAGGCTTTGGAGGCCAAAGTGCCACTGTTGCTGCAATTGTTGGTGCATGAGGATGATGATATCTCAGCAAACATAGTGGGCTTCTGCTATGACTACCTGCATGTCCTCAAACAGGTGAGCTCACCTTTTGTGATTAATGAAATCAATCTTATTTGTGTAGATGTTAAACTTACAACATACAAAACAGCACTGCACTCCACATTACACAGTTGCAGATTTGTCCTGATTGCCTTGGCCTCTTCACAATTTCTTTCTTGAATGTAAAAAAAAAAAACAGTAGTGACTCATTATTTGTATATATTCTTGTAGCTTCCTCAGCTGACAGATCAGCAGAAGGCAAATATTGAGGCAAGTTTTTTTTTTTTTTTTTTTAATACACATTCTTTACTTTCTTCAAATACATAATTAATACGTGTTTTACAGGCAGTAATGCTTGCAGTTATGAAAAAATTGACCTATGACGATGAGTACAACTTTGAGAATGAAGGTGAAGATGAAGCAATGTTTGTAGAGTACCGGAAACAGCTGAAGATGCTGTTGGATCGTTTGGCTCAGGTGTCCCCCGAGCTTTTGCTGGAGGCTGTACGCCGAGTCTTTACCAATGCCATGCAGTGAGATATTTATCCTTTTAACTTTTTTTTTTTTTTTTTTTTTTTAACTGAAACTTAAATTTAAAAGATGAACCCACCTGTCTCCTTTTTTATTCATAGAAATTGGCAGACAGCTCCATTTATGGAGGTTGAAGTGGCTATAAGGCTGGTGTACATGCTTGGAGAGGCATTGCCTGCATCTCATGGTGCACATTTCTCTGGAGACACAGCAAAGACAAATGCACTTCAGGAAATGATGAGAACAGTACGTTTTGAGGCATCAATATAAATATCAATATGTTATGATTATCAACTTTATTTTTTAATATCTCGCAGTTGGTGTCCTGTGGCGTGAGCAGTTATCAGCACAGCTCAGTGGCTTTAGAGTTCTTTGAAACTATAGTACGATATGATAAATTCTTCATAGTGGAGCCTCAGCACATTCCTAATGTTTTGGTAAGTGAATCCTGCAAGTCTTCCAACAGTTGTGTTTTTTCTATTTTTAAAACATTCGTGTTTTGCACAGATGGCATTTCTGGACCAAAGAGGACTGAGACACAACAGCCCTAAAGTCCGTAGCCGAGTAGCTTACCTCTTTTCCAGATTCATCAAAACTCTGCAGTAAGTCTTTGCTGTAGGTTTTAGTTTATATAAATATAGCGCACTAAGATTTTAACCTTTTTATCCCTTTTTCAAAACCAGTAAACACATGAATGCCTTTATTGAGGACATTTTGACCAGGATCCCAGACCTGCTTGCACTTGCTCCACCTGTATGTCATTAGGGTTACTGTAAGGAATTCTCAAATGTAAACTGCTGAAAAAAATCTGAAAACCCTTTTCTTACATGATTTAGGAAAATGGTTTCCCGGCACTTTTAACAAGTGATGATCAGTTGTTTATGTTTGAGACTGCTGGCATTCTGATCGTCAATGGTGAAAGTCCAGTGGAAAGGAAACAGGCAATGATGAGGAGTCTATTGACACCACTGATGGAAGCTTTTGGGTTGCTTCTCGCCAAACTGCTGCAGGAGACAGACGAGGAGAGACAGGCTGCTCTTGCAGACTGCCTGAGCCATGCTGTGGGCTTTGCTAGGTATGAATTGAATGTAGTATCATATTAACACTGCTATGTCCCAGTATTCAATGAGCATGTTGCATTTGCTAGCCGCACCAGTAAAGCATTCAGTAACAAACAAACGGTGAAGCAGTGTGGCTGCACTGAGGTCTACAGAGACTGCCTCCAGACCTTTCTTCCTGCCCTGAGTTGCCCTGTTCAAAGAGGAGTGCTGCGCAGCTCTGTGCGCTCCTTCCTCCATCGAATGATCATGTCTTGAAGAGGAGGTGCTGCCCTTTATTCCATCTGCTTCTGAACACATGCTCAAAGACTGTGAGGCTAAGGACTTGCAAGAATTTATTCCACTTATCAGCCAAATCACTGCAAAGTTTAAGGTGAACATACAAGTTACATGTTATAAAACCTTCTGTCAACACAACCCTCATGTAATTCCTGAACCATGTTTGTCCCCATGACAGAGGCAGGTGTCCCCCTTCCTACAGCGGATCTTCATGCCACTTGTACTTGCCATTTTCGAGGTGTTAGCCCGACCAGCGGAGGACAATGATCAAGCAGCTGCCTTGGAGAAGCAGATGCTGAGGAGAAGCTACTTCAGCTTCATTCAAACTATAACAGGAAGTGGAATGAACGAGGTGATGGCCAATCAGGGTGCGTAACATTGACACTATATAATGGCTAAAATTGATATTGAATGTGTTAGCATTTTACACGGTAAATATTTCTAGTGCTGTGACATGTACCAGTTAATTCATACATGCTATGCCTTTCTTTCTTGGAATTCTGTCATTGTTTTAAAGGGTTAGGTATCATAAGTACTTTTTAATTCAGCCTAAACCCTTTCGGTCATGATTCATTGGGTTGTAGTCTGTTTTGTTTTGTTTTATAGTGCTGCAAAATGAGCGAATGAAAAACTACTGTGTTGAGTTATCAAACCATAGTTGTGATTTCACGTAGCACATTGATTGCTGAAGCCTCAAATCTGTTTCTATAATATACATATTTAATAATAATTGCAAACATTTAATTAATACATGTTTTTTTTTTTGTTTTTTTTTGTTAGGTGCAGAAAACATTGAACAGGTTGTGTTCACAATCATTCAGGGGGCTGTTGACTTCCCTGACCCAATTGCTCAAAAAACTTGTTTTATTATCCTTGCCAAATTAGTGGAGCTGTGGGGTAATGGAACATTATAATGAAAGAAAAATATAATTTTTTATTGCAGTTTTATTAAGTCATGTTCTGGTTATATTCTCAGGAGGGAAAGATGGCATGGTGGGCTTTCCTGACTTTATCTACAAAAACATAGTTCCTGCTTGTTTCATGGCTCCTCTTAAACCAACCTTTGACCTCTCTGATGCTCAGACAGTGCTAGTAAGTGAGCTTTAAATACTCCTCATAAAGTTGCCCCCTGTGCCTTTTTTAAAATGTTTGTTTTTTGTAGACGCTGTCTGAGTGTGCAGTTACCCTGAAAATGATTCATCTCAAACGGGTAAAATGAGCTAATTGTGTTTTTCAGTGGCTAATGTATTGAACTGGTTTATTATTATGTCTGTTTCAGGGACCGGAGTTTATCCAGTTTCTTCAACAGGAGTATTTACCCTCTCTTCAAGTGTCTCCTGAGATATCACAGGTACCATTGGATTGACCAGTCACTCGGTTAAAAAGATTGTGAGAAGAATTGTTTTTAGCATTGTTTTTACATTTGCTTTTAATCCCATTCCTAGGAATTGTGTCATGTGTTGCAAGAACCAGACGTCAAAGTTTTGAAAACCTATTTGAAGGTCAGAATTACGTTGCTGCATTTAAGTAAAAGCTTTGTTATAATAGATTTATTTACACATGTATTGTTTTATTTTAACAGGCCTTTTTTCAACAAGCCAGGCTGTAGAATATTAAGGCTCATTGTGACTAAAGGAACACTTCACATGTGTTTTTTCTTGCCACTCAACTCATCAGGAGCTGCACTTTAAACACGTCACATGGTCCAGTCTGTTAGGGTGACAGAAGAACAAGAGGAGAGGGCCCTCTAGTGAGACGAGCTGTCCGCCATTCAGACGTCAGAGAAGCTCTGGTGCAGGCAAACATTGTGGAAAGTGAAGTTTGTGTTGAAGATACTTGTAGAAGTAAACCTGGGAGAACAATTATCCTAACATTTTAGGATCTATCAAATATAGCTTTATTCTAGTCCAAACGTTAAGAACTACAATACACATTAGGGGGCTGTTGTAATGTGTTTGTTTCCACAAATGTGGACAAAAACAAGGGCTGGAAATGTATTTTTATTTAAAACATATCTGAGTTGTTTTTCTTTGGGGAAAAGAATTTCATGTTTGAAGTGAAACAAGTGCTTAAAGCTTAAATGACCTATTGGGAACATCATATTTCCCAGTTTAAATGTTTACTAAGATCCTTAGTTAATCACCATTCACAGTAGTTGGGTCTCAAAACTGTGATTAGTCTGCCTTTCTGAAGCGTTAATACCAAGTGTTGGGACTGATTAATTTCAAGACAGAGATGTGAGATAAAATTAAATGTAAATAAGAGTAAGATGTCAAATTGTAAATAAGGTTCCCAGGTTTATTTTTTTAATATTTTTATGGAAGCTCATTTGTGCCAGAAAATGGAAAAAAAAAAAAAAAAGTTCAAATTGATATTCATAGTACAATTATATCACAACCTTAACCTTTGATTGTCAAGACTGAATATGTACAACAGCTAATGTATTTTACTACTTATCACTTACCAGACTCAAATGGGCTTCCTAAAATATACAGATCTAATCTCATAGTTTTGATCCCATGTACAGTTCGTGTACACTTAAACTTGTACAGAAAGAAGAAATTACCTTCAAGACGTTTTTCATGACAATTCAAGATACTTCATTATGCAACTCTGCATGATATACTGTGAAGGAGCACTCTTTAACATTTAAGGCAAGGCCATAAATTAATACGGCGTCCGCGTGGCAGCCGAAAATTTATTTCAAAAACATTGTCCAGATGTCTGCCTTTTGAAATGGTTTTAACCACAATACCACTATAACAGCAGCATTGTTGCTCACACAAAAATTATACTTTCGAAGAGTTTTTTTCCTCTCTCTCATTTTCAATCTTATGCATAACCAGATCACCCAAATTTCATTTTTTGGCACCACTTTTCTCTGAAACATAACCTGGTTTAAAAATGTGATAAACACATTTTGTCCTGTTTGGTGCTTATGATATAACCTGGTCTATCTAGGATTTGTGTTACATACAAAACATCTCTATTCTTTTACTCAATTACAGTCGATACAAGAGGAGCAGACAGCAAAACTAACTTGACAATGCCATGGTTTTGCAAGTTACAATAATCTGCAATTGCTATACTAAATGCTTTTCCTTTGACATTGTGGCTGTATCGTTCATTTCAGCTAAACTCCCTGATAAGTGCATGCATATAAACTCTTGATTTCCCAAACCAAAGTTACAAACAATTTAAGACATCAGTATGCATCACACATCAAGCCAGATATGTAATTGTGTTTTTCACCAAGTCATTTTTAGACCGATGGCTTTTGTTTTTTTTTGGGCCAATTTTATTAGAAATATAGTGCTCCCAGTTTTGTTCTATTAAGACATGTCCTTGGTCCACTTGAACTTCAACTCCTGTTAGAACCAATAAAGTGTTTAATCATGAAATGGTGCTCTTTATATTTGTAATTTCCACATGGGTTTTATTCTTTCACTGGCAGGACAGCAATTCTTTAAAAAAAAAAACTCAATTAGCAATTTTTAAGCTAGGGCATATAGGGCCATATATAACATTTTCAGATTCACAAAAGGGCTAGGCCAGATACATAAATTAATTTCTAAAGCAAGGCTTTTCCGTCTTAAGTGTATCTATTTTGTTTATCCTTTAATCACAGCTATAGGTCGCAGTTTAATGGCCTTTTTGCTGATTCCAGCATCATGGCATGTGTTCACAACATCTGTCACATTTTTGTATGATTCAGGAGCCTGTAAAAAAAATAATAAAATAAATGTATGCAAGTGTGTAGATACAGATATACAGATAGAGATCAGGGGTCTCCAGCCTGTAGCTTAAGAGCAACCAGTCACTCTCCAAAAATCCTTTGAGCTACTTGGAAGGGTTTGAATTATACATATTGTACTGACTGACTCAAATTTGATCAACAGCCATTGTAAATTTATCATTTTGATGACTAACTTTATGAATTAATAATGGAAAAAATACCTACAAAATGTAGACCTAACTGTTCCCCATCTAAGGCTTTCCTGTGCTCATTTTCTTGTAAAATTTGTAGCACTTTGCCATTTTCTTTTTGTAAATGTAGCTCACCAGGAGAAAAAGGTTGGAGACTCCTGAGCTATAGACAGAGTCAACCTTCTACATACCTCTTCCATCACTAGCTTGGGCGAAGCCACTCTGATAGCAATACCCATATCAGCCAGTTTGTCCAGTACATCCTGGAAGTCCAAGTTTCTCCGTGACTTTGCTCTAGAGAGAGCCCGGCCCTGGACCATATAAGTATAATGACAATTACACAGATTTTATATAATACTTTTGTGGCAAGGCTTTACATTGCATTACAGTATTCAGTCACAAGAACACACGGGGGTGGAAAGCGGCTTCTGTTGTCAACGCCAGACAAAAAACTACCAACCAGCACCAATCACTGACCATAGACCTTATGCCATGCATACAGAGCCAGAGCTGAGCTAAAGTTGAAAATTACATACCGCTCCATGACATGTTGTGCCAAATGTTTCTGTCATCCCTTGCTCTGTGCCAGTTAAGACATAACTGCATGTTCCCATGGTTCCACCAATTAACACCGGCTGACCTGTAAGCTAAACAGAAAGCGCAGCATTTACACTTTATGTAAGAGGTCATTTAAGGGACTGATGTATATGTGGTATGGACCTGGTAGTCGACAGGAATGAGAGGATGGTGAGGAGGAAAGGCCCTGGTGGAGCCTTTGCGATGGACTAACAGTGTTTTCTGTTTGCCATCAACAATGTGCTCTTCAACTTTTGCAATATTGTGGGAAACATCATAGATAACGTGCATATCCAAGTCATCGGGTGTAGTCCCAAAAACTTTCGAAAAGGCCTGGTACAGAAATGGAAATGCATTAAATCAAATACACTGATTGTGAATTGAATATGAATGTTGTAGATGCAGTTCCCACTTGTCTAGTAAGAAAGGTCATAGATGAACGGTTGACCCAGGCATAGTTTCCCGCTGCAGCCATGCCTTTTAGATAGTCTTGTCCTTCCTGTGAAAAGATTCGAGCACATGCCAGCTGACGGTCGTTCACTGTGATTTTGTCCCTTTTCATTGCCTTCTCCATGGCAACTAAGGCATCTGCAACAGAGCCAATTAAAAATATGATTGAGTGATGCATGTGTTATTTGATCAGCAGTGTTGATTCAATAAACACTTATATATACCTGTAGCAACCTGGTGGCCAAGCCCTCTGCTTCCACTGTGGATCATCACACACACCTGACCTTTATGGTCAATGCCCATTTTTTTGGCGGCATAGTCATTATATATCTCATCCACAACTTGGATTTCAGCATAGTGATTTCCAGCCCCAAGAGTTCCCAGCTGCAGCACACGAAAATAATTACTTTTAAAAGTAAACATTGTTTTCTAAAATAGTATTCCTTCCTGTGGCTACCTGTGGCAGTCCTCTCTTCTTGGCCTTGGATGACACTTTGTTGGGATCTGCTTGCAACATCCTGCCATATTCCTCACAGTGCTCCTTATCCTCAGCCCAGGCATAGCCCTCTCTGAGAGACCAATCCACGCCCATCTCTAGAGCTTCCTCCAGGTCTCTAGCAAAAAGGCAAAAATCAAACCAGTAGAAGAAGAGACCTTGCCCTTTCCAGTGTTTTTGGTAAGTGTAAACTGTACCTACTTGGCACTCATCGGAATAACTCCTTTGGACCCCACTCCGACTGGGATATGGTCAAACAGAGATTGAGCCAACTGCTCCTTTACTGGCTGAACGTCCCGCTCATCGAGATTTGTTCGTAGTAGACGCACTCCACAGTTTATATCAAAACCGACACCACCTGTAGATGTATAATTGCTTCACCTCACAACTTGGCCTCTAAGTACATATTAAGATGTACAACACATGCCTGATTTGCAATAATATGTCTGATGATTTAGATAATATACGATATTTGATCAGCAATAGTAATACTGACATACCTGGGGAAACTACAGCTTCAGGGTCATTCATGTCAAAAGCTGCCATGTTTCCAATTGCAAAACCATATCCAGAATGGACATCAGGGAGACCTATGGATCTCTGGAATATGTGATATTACACATTATTTTGTTTTCCTCATTTAATATTATATGATGTGGCAATGCATATATAGCACAAAGAAAGATTTTCAAGCTCACATGTACAATTCCAGGCAGTGCAGCCACGTTTCCAATCTGTTTCATGGCTGGGAGGAATCCGCCGACACCTAAACATTAAGTTTATGGTATATATAAATAAATAAAATTATATAATCTTAATTGTAAAGAAATATATGAATCCTAATCCCTCAAAAGCAAAGAGGTGGAAAAATGCAATATGATGTGATCAGAACAGACATTCTATAGGTCAGAACATAGTATATAGTATATAAGGCCATTGGCGCAGATTACGCAGATAGACAATCATGTTTATCCCATTCGGCCATAGGGCCGCTGAAGCCGAAGAAACTGCTTCCCATATAAAATAAAATTTAGAATCTAGTTGAATGACTTGGAGTGGGTAATAAATGTAAAATGCACTAGGAAGGGGATTTGAAAATGGATTAAACGACACAATAAGAGAAATGTACAAACCTCCCCCTCGACAGGCATTTCGAAGCTCTTCAAACATTAATTTTTCCAGGGAATCGTTCACGTAGAAGTTTCCTTCAACCTAAAATTACACATTATTTATAAGTCAATAATCCAAGAATCATTGTATTCGTACTCTATGAAGTAGTGGATGATCCAAAAGCAAAGAAACCGGCCACGTTCGAGTCCTGCTATGCCATGCCTTACCTGCATATTGGGCACAAAGCCCTTTTTAATTCGCCAGCAGTTACTGCTGATCTTGTCCAAGTACTGCAATTCATCGTTGTAACTTCGGCTCATGACTTTGATAATAAGGTGAATAAAACTCCAGAAATAATTGTGTTAGCTTTGTGAACAGTGTGCAGTATGTGTCCGTCACCCGAGCGGTACGGAAGCCCATAAGGAAAAAAACATATTCACTGATTCTCAATTTTCGTGGCATGGACTGCCACGTCTGAATTGGAATTTAATAACAATAAGGACATAACGGAGTAGCAAATTACATATTGCTTATCATCATTTTAATGTAACTGAATGTTTTTGGATCAAATGCTTAAAGTTTAATGGGCCGAATCTCCGTAGAGCGAAATGAGCGGACCAGGCCAAGTCCTCCAAAATAAGCACCAAGTCTTTGACATGTAAGTTCTTATTACAGATGGTTTTTACTCTTTGACTTTTGGTGTCAAACTATCTTTACTTAAACAATCATGGAATAGACTAAGATTACTATAACGTGTCCTGTTTTGGTAATTTAGACAAAGAGCTCTACATAGAAAATACGATAGATTTTACATTGACTCTACAAACTGTGTGGCGGAAGCAGTTTGAGCTGCGTTCCTTGTGTTTACGAATTGACACCTGGATCAATGTTAGCAGCAAAAATAAAACTGCACATGGGAATAATACTGTACCTTACTTCTTTTCAAATACGTACTTAAAGTAAGTAGGTCTTACCAAAGTCATTTATAGTTTAACGTTAGGTTAACTATTTAACTGTTAATATGTGTAACGTTAGTTAGCATTTTTATTTAATGTGGTTAATTTTAAGTAATGTTGCTATCAAAACCGAAACTCAATTGTGTTGCGTACCAGTTGCAGTTGTACATTAATGTTATGCAGTGTGGTTGTTATTGTGTAATTTGGAGATATGTAACGCTTGTAGTCATTTTGAGAGAATTATTTTTGTGTTTTGTGAAACTTGGGACAGAGTGTCACTTAACACGAACATGATTCAGCTAAATAACAAAGATTTGCGATAAGAAATAATGTCCTTTGTGACGCATTATTTATTACCATGTCATTTATCAAGACTTCTGTTAAATTTTCATGTACAGTGCAGTCTTACGCTTCACGTTAACGTTAACTATATGAAAATAACTCGTGAATAAAACGTGTCTGACTTTAACTACACCTTTGTAGCATGATCCTTCGAGTTCGACTCAACAGGCAGACGAGCCGTGTAGAGCTACATGGAGAAGACCCTACTTTATCAGAACTTACCAATCATATCAGAAACACACTACTGCCTTCACAGGGCCTGAGGTCAGACTCTGACTTGATTAAACCTTTATGAAGATGTAAAACAATCCAGCAAATGTTAAGTCCTTGTTTGTTGTTTTTTTACAGTGCCAACACAGAGTTCAGCCTGTCCTTGAATGGCACAGAGCCTCTCTCAGACAATGGGCAGACTTTGACTTCGTGCAGCATTGTCTCTGGAGATTTGATCTGTGTCATACTGCCTGGCCATGTTGTTGCGGTTTCATCCTCTGCTTCCACTGAGCAGATGCCGAATGCTACCAATCAGATTCAGACACAGCATACAACATCAATGCCCAACGATGAAGTGAGCATTTGTTGCACTTATTTGCTGATGGTTTTGGTATGTACACCAAAGTAGTGACAATCATTTTTATTATCTTTTTATTTCGTCATCTGTTATAGCCCAGCTGCAGTAGCCCTGCAATTCACAATGAGATCTCAGAACACACAGTCCCCAGTTGGGAGCCTATGTTATGCAGTGAGGCAGAGGATAGCCAAGCACCTCTTTCTCTTGAGCTCCTCTATCATGCGGCCCACAGCACAAGTCCCAGTGATGCCATCATTATAGTTGGACACCTGCTGATGCTTGAAACAGGATTTACTCATGAGGTTTACAAACACGTGTTTCTAGAAGATGTATCTGTACATTGTCCAAATAATATTAACAATTATTATAAAATGTGATAATAATAACCACTTTTCTTGACTGCCCAGGGAGGTGAGCCTCAGTCAGTGGACATGCCTGCTGGATGGAGAGGAGCAGGAGGAGTATATAAGCTGAAGTACAGCCATGCTCTGTGTGAGAACAGCCTAGCACTTCTGGCAGCTGTGTGTACCGGCCCTGCCCTTGTGATTAATGGTAACTTTTTGATAGATGTGAAGAATCTCTTCTTTCATCTGAGTTTTTAACAGTTTCTTTCTCCAATCTCTCCAATAGCAACCTTGAAAGTTAATGAAAAAGCATGTGCAGCTGGTAAACTATGTCTGAATCCATCCAGCTATGTTACCAATGAGTGGCCAGGTAGGCAATATGAACTTAGACGAATAATTTGTGTTGAGTGTAAACTTGTTCTTTACAAACTGCTTTACTGGCACTTTACTTTCAAGAGACCATCACAGTAGGTTTTAATCACTTTTATTTTTCACCTTTTTCTTTAGGGGAGCATGCTGCTGCAGCTTTCAAAGATCTGAAAAAACTGTCCAGAATATTCAAAGATGCGCTGGCATATCCTCTGATTGCTGCCGCTAGAGAAGGTGCAAACTCAGTACTTCTGAATGTATGTTGTTTGTTTAATGTTGTTTAATGTTTTTGTTTTGTTTGATCTCTTCAGCCATAGCTTTGCCTGTAGCCTTTGGTTTACCAGCTCTTCCACCAGAGCTCCTGCTCAGAGTGCTTCGGCTACTGGATGTACACTCACTGACAAGGTTGTCCATGGTCAACAGACACTTTCACAACACCACATCTGACTCTACACTGTGGAAGCATCTTTTTCTGAGGGACTTCAGAGGTGAGACCAATATGGAGAAAAGCACTAATCTTTTGCAAAATGATAAACTATTGCAAGGTTTAAGGTTATGAACAATGTTCTTAAAAGAATAGCTTTTTTGTCACTAGACTCTGATGCCTGGAGCTGTTCCAGAGACACAAACTGGAAAGAGGTGAGTGGAAAAACAATTTCAGATCAATGTTATATAGTTTAAGGACAATACTTAATGAGTACTTTGTATGCCAAGTTGTTTAAATTGCAATATATGTTTTTCAGCTTTATAGAAAGCAGTACAAGATTCGCAAGGAACGGCATAGGCTGAGACTTAATCGCTCTTTACCTCCATACCCAAACCTTGATCCATTTCACACTGGGCCAAATTTTGAACCCTTTGTCCCAGGGATTATTGGTGGCATATATGATCAGCGACCAACTCTTCCACGTGTTATGTTACCCCGCCCTCGCCATGACCCTCTTGGTCTAATTCGTAGCTACACACCAAGATCAGGAGGCAGAGACAAAGGCTTCATCTGACATGGTTGTCAACTATTCAAATAAACCCAGATCTGAGTTACATTTTGTTGTCCATAATACACTTACCAAATAAACCAAATACCACATATGAGCAATAATTATTCATTAATTAATGTGTGGCTATGTTGATTAAACTACATATTGTGAAATAGTCACTGAATTTAAATCACATGTTTGTTATAAAATATGTTATGCTTAAATATTTGATAAATAATGCCATAATGGTATTAACCTACACCAAATTAATACATTTTTAAAGTTATTTTACTTTTTTTATTATTTGTGTTTCCACCTACTTTGCTTTTTTCATATATTAAAAACGACGTCATCCTTTGTCTTATAACAAGGAGTGCACTTGATTTATTCCACTGGCTCTTTGGGGTGGGAGGAGTTTACAACGGGCGAGAATTTGGTAACATAATACTTGCCTTTGATGTTTACTAATTTTTGTCTTGATTAAACCTTATCGATCAGATGTTGTGAAGCCAACAAAAGCTATGAAAAAAGACGACAGATGATCAAGAAGTATGAGGTCATTAAAGGCACCGTAACATCAGTGATTCTCACTTCTAGTGTTATGTCTCTTTAAGAGCTTAGTGTTGTTACCGGAAGTGTTAGGGGTGTTTCCAGCTGATCTACACAACAGAGGAGCTCGTCTCCCCGTGTGTCCAGTGTCTGCTGTCTGCTCTTTTCCGTCCAAAGATCACGGAGAGCGGGCTTGGAGTCCCCCGCCGTGCACCCTTAAACAGAGCCTCCTATTTTCTGTGTACAACACGAAACGCCCCGGCACCTACTGGGACTCTATCCACTGCTCCGCTCTGTAGCCGCTGTCGGTGGTTGTTAGCTTGGACTGTCATGATCTCAGCGCGGAGATGGCGTCTATACCCGGTTTGTGCAAGGCTGTCGGGCCCGCTGTTGAGGAGGACAACGGAGACCTGGACCACTCTCTGGGGCAGATGCTGAAGGCCATCGCCGACGAACGGAGCCGCCTCAACATCAGACAGGAGCTCAGCGGACTCGGTGAGCGTGGGTCCTGCAGCCTTTATCTGGTTTTCAAACCGAAAGGAAGAACAATTTTATGGCTCCGATCACCTATTGTTACTCCCTAAAACACGTCTTTATTTTAATTAATGTCAACGTGACCCATTGCTTTAACGAGTTCGTCGAACCCAAGCCTATGCAAATTTTTGGGGGTATTTTCTGTTCTGTATCTGGACTTGACAAGAGCATATGCTTGTCACATGGGGAACTGATAGTGGTACCCGCAATAGTGGTAACCGGTATGTTTGTTAGACTTATGAAAAGAACAGGCATAGAAGAGGACGGAACAAGTCTATATTAGGAATAAACAGAGATCAAATCAGAATCAGTTGTGAACACACTATTTTGAACCTCCTTAATAGTGCACATTCAGCTTTCCAACACTTGCTGAACTCCACTAGAATACACCTTATGGAGATTTGTGAAATAAAATTGGGCTGTAGGATGGCAATTTCTCTGTAATTTCTCTGGTATAACATATACACTACACTAAAATCATATATATATATATATGTATATATATGTGTATATATATATATATGTATATATATGTGTGAATATATATGTGTATATATATATATATATATATGTGTGTGTGTGTATATATGTGTATATATATATATATATATATATATATATATATATATATATATATATATATATATATATATATATATATATATATATATATATATATGTATATATATATAATGTGTGATGTTTTAGTGTAGTGTGTATGTTATACCAGAATCTGCTGTATCTTGGGACGCTGAAGCTTGTTTTGTAGGTAATTTGTTCTGACAGTGAAGTCAGTGGAGCTTTGTTCATGATTTCATCACTGCACTTGATGTTGGCCATGCTTACATCTTAATATTGGTGAGAGGAACACCTGGGTGAAAGATCTTTATTTTGGGCTATCGTATAAGATTAAATTGCATTGTTTAATATTAATGTCACATTAATGTGCATTCATCATAATGTCCTAAATGATGATGAATTCCAGATGATAAAAATCACATAGCTATAACTCTTCTAGGCAGTAACTCAAATGCTGGTGACTGTGCTACCATAATCAAACAGTAGTTCCTTTAACGTTAAACCAGCTCAGAGGCACATGATGTCTCATGGGCAAATTGCTGTATGTCAATTCCTCATCATGTAGTGATAATCACATGACATGACACTGGTTCAGCAAGACATCGAGTGATGGATGCCTCACTCTGGAACATGTGTTTAGCATAGTTGTGTTGGTATTAAAGAAGTATAAGTAGAAATGGAAAAACTCATATCTGTTAAACTTAAATAAGTTTTCTTCTTTACTAATGTTGCACAGTGCTCGGATAGAAAAACATGGAGGTACTAGTCTATTCGTATTACAGTTAAAATTATTAGCTTTGTCGGTCATAAGCATGTCCATGAAAAAAAAATTACACTTCAAGTGTGCTATAAATAGCCTCACACTTTTTTCAGAGATCGCCTGCAGTGGCTAAAAATGAGATATGCAAGATAACCTGAAAACAGTAGGGGGCTGACACCTTCTCCAGGACCGCATCCCATGTATGTGATAAGGTGTATGCTTCCTTGTCACGGTTTATGCTCCTTTTGCGGATCTCGATGGCCTCTCTGACCCAGCAGTGGTAAGGTGAGATGCACAAACAAGGTCCAAGGAGCATAGTAAACCATGAAAAAGGAGCATACACCTTATTGCACACATGGGATGCAGTCCTGGAGAAGGCGTCAGACACCATCACATTCTGAAGAAGGCTACAGGAAGTAAACAAACTCTGCTGTCAGACTAAAAGACTAACTAATTCTTGGGGTGATTCTATGGGTGATAAATAGCTCAGTATTTTCATGGAGTATCCCAATAATGATATTAAATTTATGTCGATCCAACAGAAATGTGCTAAAACTGTAAAACAATATGTTAGCAGGGTTAAGTCTAGACCGTAAAAGTAACCACAAAAAGTGCAGAAATATGATTTACTTAACACAACCTAAGTTTTTTTCTATTCACATTTTTAAGACCATATCACCTTGTCAGTTCCCAATCTTCCCAAATCCAATAAAATATTGGATTTATTTTTTGCCAGCGCCAAGGAGGCTTATTCCTCATCCTCACTGCCTCCCCTGGGTAGAACTGACCACAACATTGTCCATCTGCGGCCTGTTTATCAGCCTATTGTGCACAGGCAGCCTGTGGTGCCCCGTGTGGTGAAGAAGTGGACTGCTGAGAGTGAGGAGGCTCTGAGGGGCTGCTTTGACACCACAGTGTGGGCAGAGCTCTGTGACCCACATGGAGAGGATATCAATGCAATGATAGAATGCATCACGGACTATATCAACTTTTGTTTTGAAAACATTGTCCCCTCCCAGACGGTGCGGTGTTTTTCAAACAACAAGTCATGGATTAACCCTGACATAAAAGCTCTGCTGAAGGAGAAGAAGAGAGCTTTTAGGTCAGGGACCAAGGAGGAGCTGAAGGCTGTACAGAAGGAGCTGAGGAGGAAAATCAGGATGAGCCAAGCCAGCCAAAAGAGAAGGATGGAGCAGCAGCAGCTACAGCAGAAGAACATCCAGGGGGTGTAGAGAAGTCTCAAGACTATCTCAGGCTTCAAAGCACCTCCTGCTCAGATGGAGGGGGACCTGCAGTGGGTGAATGACCTCAATTCTCACTTCTTGAGGTTTGATCAATCACTCACTCCTCCCCCCACCCAGCTGCCAGCTCTCACCTCCCCATCTGGACAATGGGGAAATCCTGCACCACCTCTTCACACCTCTGCCTCTGCTCTTCAGCCCACCACTACACATGGACTCACCCCTCCTCCCAGCCTGCCACTTTCTTTGTCTTTTTCTGCAGCCCAGGTGAGACTGGAGCTCAAGAAAATTAGACCCAGGAAGGCAGCAGCACCAGACGGCATCAACTCCAGGCTCCTTAAGTCCTGTGCAGACGAACTGTGCGGTGTTATGGAGCATGTCTTCAACATGAGCCTTAAGCTGAGGGTGGTACCGCGACTCCGGAAGACCTCTTGCGTGGTACCAGTGCCTAAGACACCGCACGCTAAAGACCTCAGCAGCTTCAGGCCGGTGGCTCTAACATCCCATCTGATGAAGACACTGGAGAGACTGGTCCTTGGCCACCTCCGCTCCACCGTGAGCTCAGCGATGGACCCGCTGCAGTTTGCGTACCGGCCTAGAATCGGAGTGGAGGACGCCGTCATCTACCTGCTGCACCGCTCACTGTCTCACCTGGAGAACCCCGGCAGCACTGTGAGGATTCTTTTCTTTGATTTCTCCAGTGCTTTCAACACCATCCAGCCACTGCTCCCGAGGGACAAGCTGGAGACTGCCGGTGTGGACTGTGACCTGGCAGACTGGATTCTGGACTACCTCACAAACCGGCCCCATCCAAGAACTGCGTGTCTGACCTCCTGACTGGCAGTGTGGGGGCGCCCCAGGGCACTGTCCTCGCGCCCTTTCTTTTCACCCTCTACACTGCAGACTTCAGACACAACACGGACAGCTGCGTCCTGCAGAAGTTCTCTGATGACTCTGCCATCATTGGCTTCATCAAGGATGATAATGATGTGGAGTACAGAGGACTAATACAGGACTTTGTGGACTGGTGTCAGCAGTACCACCTCATCATCAATGCAGAGAAGACCAAGGAGATGGTGGTGGACTTCCGCAGACGCCACTTTACTGCCCCCCCAGTGAACATCCAGGGAAGGGACATTGAGAGAGTGGACTCGTATAAGTACCTGGGTGTTCATCTGAACAATAAACTGGACTGGACTCACAACACAGATGCACTGTACAGGAAGGGCCAGAGCAGGCTCTATCTCCTGAGGAGACTCAGGTCTTTTGGAGTGGGGGGGCCACTCCTGAAGACCTTTTATGTCTCTGTGGTGGCATCAGCCATCCTGTACGGTGTGGTCTGCTGGAGCAGCAGCATCACAGAGAGGAAGAGGAAGAAGCTGGACAAGGTCATCAAGAAGTCCAGCTCTGTCCTGGGCTGTCGTCTGGACTCAGTGCAGGAGGTGGGGGACAGGAGGGTCCTGACTAAGGTCATCTCTATGCTGGGCCATGAGTCTCACCCCCTGCAGGACGCTCTGTCTGCTCTGGAGAGCAGCTTCAGTGACAGACTGATTCACCCTCGCTGTGTGAAGGAGAGGTTTCGCAGGTCTTTCCTTCCTGCTGTTGTCAGACTTTACAACAAACATTGTTAACACTGAACATGTGCCAGTCAATTATATCCATGTGCAATTATTTTTAAGTCTATTTTTAAATTATTTTTAAGCTATTATTTATTATCTGTGTTACCTTTTCCTGCTGTTCTGAAATTGCACGTTGCAACACTGGAATTTCCCCACTGTGGGACTAATAAAGGCATATCTTATATCTTATCTTATCTTGTCTGATATCTGAAGTCAGAATGTGGCATGTGAGAGGTGATGGTCGGAGGGTCAGATGGCGCAGATTGGTAGCCTGACATCTGTCCGTCTAGCACAGTAGCTTTCTACCATAGGGTATGTAATGAATAATTCACAAAGTGACTATGAGCGTAGAAAAGCACTAGAAAAGACTAAAAGGCTAAAAGAATAATGCATTATTATAATTCTAATCAGCTCATATTTTGTTTTTTTATTGTAAACAATATGCTAATGTTGAATATCAAGCATATCTTCAAAACAACATACCCAATATTTTTATAATCTGTCCAGCCCTAATTAGGACATAAAGATAAAGGGTAATGGCAGCAGTATTTTTTTTTGGTTTCCTCATGAAGCAGCTCCGGCAGGATGGTGAACTTAATGCCATGTCATCCCTGGACCAGTTGCTTGGCAATAGTTGCTAGGTGGCAGGTGCCTGATAGTAGAGCACCCTCAGGGCTATGTGGGGATGATAGTCTGCCACTGTGATAGTATTACAAGTGTCCATTCATTGTTCTTTGACTGAATTTGTCCTTGGTCTTTCCTTGTCTACAGCCAAATGATGCAGATGCAAACTAACGTTAGTGTTATTTTTCAGGTTGCTTTAAAGATGACCGCATTGTGTTTTGGACATGGATGTTTTCCACATACTTTATGGAGAAGTGGGCTCCACGACAAGACGACATGCTCTTCTATGTTCGGCGGAAGTTGTCCTATGTCAACACTGACAACACGGAGGGCAAAAAAGTGAGTAGTCATCTTGCTGACTTGTGATTAATTTATAGATTGACATGCCTGTGTTTTACAAAATTAAATACATATGTTTGGTTTCATAATTAACTATGACATACGGCCTGTACTGCTAGGTGGAGGTTGAGGTATTCCGGAGAGACTCTAAGAAACTGCCAGGCCTTGGAGATCCTGACATTGACTGGGAAGAGAGTGTCTACTTGAATCTTATTCTACAAAAGGTAATAGACACAACTGATGTTGAATATATGTATCTGTGTACTGGATTCAGCTCCATCTCAGTGCAGTGTTTCACATTTCTCCCAAAAATTCTTGTTTTTCTCTCTTTGTATCTCTAGTTGGATTACGTAGTGACATGCGCAGTCTGCACACGCTCCGACGCAGGGGATATCCACATCCATAAAAAGAAATGTCAGGTGAGAGAGGACTGTGACTCCACAACTACAGCTCTTTTGTATTTTTCAGTTTTTTACACATGTTTTTAACTTCTTCCAGGAGGTGTTTGCTTCACCCAGTAAACATGCAATGGACAGTAAAGGAGAAGAATCCAAAATGAGTTACCCAAATATCTTCTTCATGATTGATAACTTTGAGGAGGTAAGGAAGCATCCACAAATGCATACTTTTGACTGCACCTGAAAAGCAGTGGTGTTTTTTGCTTTCTTAGCAGGTAATGCTGCTGGGGTAATGATCTGTAATTTTGTGCTTTGTCTCTCTCATTTTCACATTCAAAACCAAGTGTGTGCTTTCGGTTGGTCATCTTGTAAAAATTATATATAAGCGATCTCTGACAGTTTGAAATTAAAGGGCCATTTTGGGTTTTCAGCTATGAAAATATGTAATTCAGATGTGTTTTTGTTTTGTTATAAAAGGTGAGATTTTGGTGTGTTGTATTTATTTAGGTGTTCAGCGACATGACAGTGGGTGAGGGAGAGATGGTGTGTGTTGAGCTGGTGGCGAGCGACAAAAGCAACACTTTCCAGGGAGTCATCTTCCAGGGATCCATTCGCTACGAAGCACTAAGAAAGGTCTACGACAACCGGGTGAGACCTACACAAGAGAATTGTGTCTCAATTTACACAAAACTAAAATAGTGATCTCTTTTCCCGCACTTCAAACACTGAGATTTTTGCCCTTGTTCATTTTCTAATGATTATCATAGGTGAGTGTTGCTGCTAAAATGGCTCAACGGATGTCATTTGGTTTCTATAAATACAACAACATGGAGTTTGTGAGAATGAAAGGTCCCCAAGGCAAAGGGCATGCAGAGATGGCCGTTAGCAGAGTCCCAACAGGTGACACATCTCCTTGTAACACAGAAGAAGACCAGATGTCACCGATGCATGAAAAGGTAACGGCAAGTGTATTTCAAATTTGCATATGTAAGTACAGAGCCTCATTTTGTAGAGCAGGGGTTTCCAAACATGGCTGTTTTGGGATCAACAACTCAAGACCCAACAGCAAAAGTTAATTAATGCAAATTATAATTTCCATGAAGAAACAGTTTCACTGACATTTATCTGAATAGTTTATTTTGTCATTTGGCTTAATTCTCCAAAACATAGAAAGTTTTCAATGGAAATATAGATTACATACCTTTCATTATAGTGTTATAGTTTTTTGTTTTTTTTTTATCTTTAAATCATCACATGTCTGCCAGCTCAGTGCCCCATGCCCCCCATTTAGGGGCCCAATGCTGTTTAAAGTGCAATTGAAATGAGGTCATAATCAATAATAAAATTCTGTCATGCTCCTTAGATTATGGCTGTGTACAGTGTAGTTAAATTGGGTTGTACATTAATTTAACATACATTAATTTAAAGTCAATGTTCACTCTTATCTGTATGACTTGGAAGAAGAAAGCCAGAAGAAAGGAGACAGGTGTAATAACAAGCAGTGATATCTAACTATAAATGTTGGTGGCTTGTTGCAGGTAACGTCGTTCAGCACCCCTCCGACCCCAGAAAGAAACAGACCCTCCTTCTTCTCGCCATCACTACGCCGTAAAGTACCTCGAAACCGAATCGCTGAAATGAAAAAGTCTCACTCTGCAAATGACAGTGAGGAGTTTTTCAGAGAGGAGGATGATGAAGGTAATGTTTAAAGTTCCTAAATCAAGGAAATTACGTTCTATGTGCATATAAGATCCTACATTATGCAAAATTGACTCTTGTGAAATTTAAAGCATGTTAAAATGTTGTTACCTAGTAAAAAGGCAAATTATATGAATACATTGTTTCATAGTAGTTTGTTCAGCATAAATAATGTTTTTTGCATGAACTTCAGTGCAGATGTGAGTGCAGTTTGGGTCTGATACATAGAGATAGTTTTGAGAACTTTTGGCAAGCCCCCTTTTTAGCCGACTAATCGATCAATGTCTTTACTCAGCTACTGCCCTAGAGTATGTACAACTAAAGGAAGACTGTGTATCTCTTCTGTCTATCTCCATGTTATTGTATTGCTTGAATAAGTATGAATATCATTATGACATTCAACTTTTCTGTATAGCATTTAGTGTTTTTATTGTTCAAAAATAAGTAGAAAAATAAATTTTGCTTCTCAAGAGATCTGATCTGTAACTTGACCTGGACGTATCATCTCCTTGTCTCCAATGAGATACGTTTAATGCAATAGTGTTGAACATTCTAAGCAACAGCAATTTCATGGAGATGACCAAGTTGCGATGGACCGACAGAAAAATGATATAGTCCACCTATTAAAGTAAAAAAGTGGATAAGCGCCTAGTACTAAAACTTGCAAGTCTTAGGCATCCAGCATACCATTTGCTTAGAAGTAAACACTGAAGTATATTTTTTATAATATTAATATTTTAACACCCCCTAAATAGTCACCTACCTTTTTGATATTTTTTGATATTTAGATATCCACACAGCCACCAACCTGCGCTCTCGCTCTCTGTCGGGAACGGGGCGCTCCCTTGTTGGCTCTTGGCTCAAACTGAATCGAACGGAGGACTACTTCCTGCTGTACTCCCACCTGACCTACATCACTCTGCCTCTGCATCGCATCACTACAGGTCAGAGGTTATTGGCAGAATTTAACAAATCTAGTCAGTTAATCATTGTAAGATCCTGTTTAGACCTTTTTGGCCCTGCTTTTTAGGTAGTTTACACCTGGATTTGACAGTCTTCTCAAATTCTCTGATATTCCTTTGTAAATATTGCGTCTTCCTTGGAAACATTCATGACCTCTGTGTTGTGTACTGCCATTTCTTTAAATAATACATGTTGATTAATTGCAAAACTAAAACAAAAGTTTGATAGCGATCAGAACATTTTTGGCAAAGTTAAAACTATAGGGTTAACTTTTTTGTCATAAAATGACAGTATGTTTGGTTGTTTACACAGAAAATTCTATTACCTATATAAATGCAGTCATTGCAATTTGGTAATTGTGATTTTGATTTGATTGTGAATTACTGTATTATGCTGCTCTATTTGCCTGTGATCCAGAATGCAGATCTCCCAGGCAACAGCCCTATTGTACTATTCTTATTTGTTTTGTATTTATTGAATTGTTTTGAATTTTTTGTGTTTTGACCTGTAGACATCCTGGAGGTGCGGCAGAAGCCAATTCTGATGACATAGCATATTTTCTCCCAGAGCATCATTACTAAGTGCCTCCCTGCTGTAGGCCACTGAGACAACAGCACCACCTGAAGTCAAACTGTTGCAAACATCTGACATCTGGGATGATCAAAACCAGCCATTCAAGAAGTGCCTCTTCTTTCTTTTAATTTCCTGCCGTTTGGACAGGAAGGTCATCTCTAGGAAACAGCTTTGGGGAGGAGCACATGACCATGTGTGAATGGCACTGGCTGAACTCGGACCATGAGAATAAAAGAATGTCAGCTTTCCTGTAAATATCCTGCTGCTTTACTGATCATTGACACTATGCGAGTTGGAGCTTTTATGTTTTTATCCACAGCAGCAGGTGCTTTTAAGTTTTACATTTTATGAAACTCTGAGAAAAAAAACTGTCAATGATGGAACGAGAAGGGTCAAGTGGATCGAATCCTGTGGTGGGTTAAAAAAACATTACCAAACCATTACAGCATTAAATATTTCTAGTTCAGCTAGTCTCTCCCTTGTTTTACTTCTTTATTCTGTTTAAAGTTTGTGACTTCTACATCATTTGATTCACACAGTCAATTAGTGAATTACACTGTTTATATGGTTTTTTTTTATGTGTTAAAGTTTATTTTTGTTTAATTATAGCATTTTTATTTTTTAATAAAAAGGGATGTTAGCTATTTCAAGGAAGATGTTTTAACAAGCTGCTTAGATGCTTTATTAACAAACTTTATAAAACAATGAAGATACTGGACTGTTATGAATATAGAACAAGTTTCCTCACTACTGCTGGTTATATTGTTTTGTTGTTTTTTTTTGTTTTTTTTTTCTTTTTTGGCTTTGTTTTGACCCTGTATCAAAAGAACAAATTAGAACAGATTTACAAAGGGTATTGCGTGTTTACATTGTTACAAAATAGATTGGATGGATTTGGGAATATTCAAATCAACAGATATGATATTATCACATATTTTTATGTATGTTTTTTTCTCCCCAAGTGTGCTCCTCAAGCCTTAAAATTTAGACCTAGTGTTTTTGTTGTTGTTGTTGTTGTTTTATTTTAAAATACTTTTTTATCTCACAAATGACCAGCCGAGGCTTCCAAAGATCCAGCAATCATAACGCTTATTTCTTCACAAATATGTTTATTAACACTGTTATGTCACTACATATGTGTGCTTCTTTTATATGTAGAGCAAACTCTTCCCTGGATGTATAAATAATTTTCAGAAATTACCAGTAACAATAATTCAGCCACATGGTGCAGACCTAATTTAAAGGACAGTTGTTATCAGTATCATTATATGATACAGATTGAGATGTTAACGTTCGCACCAGTTTGCACTCAGAGATGAAGCCACTGATCAAATCAAGTCATCAATCAGTGTTGTGTGTGTGTGTATGTGTGCGTATGGATTTTTCACTAAAGCAGGGCACTTTCCAGTGTTGTATGATAAAATAGTTAAGTTATTCCATCTGAATGTAGGCTGCTGCTTGATAGCAAACATTGCTTTAACTATTTGATACTATAAGCTAAATACAAGTGTGCACTGTAAATGCTACTTACTAGAACCTTTTTTAATTCTGACTATTAAGCTTTTGCTGTCATTGTTAGCTTTTGTACACATATCCAACAATGTGCATGTTATTTCACTTTGTTGTTTTTGTTTCCAAAACTGTTGCCTGTACATTTTCCTGTACTAATTTATTAAATTGTACCTCAAAAATGAATAAGTAATTAATTGTCCAGCCTTACACATGACAACCATCCAAGGCAATGATCTATGCTTCTAGCCTAAGTATTTGGACCCACCGAAAGTTGGGAAATCATTATATTTACTGCTGTATTGTTACATTTTTTTTTTCTGTTGAGTACTGTTACTTAATATCGAATTAATCCATTGTGTATATTGATTAGAAAACATTTGATGAGATGGTTTGCGGTGTCCCCCGGTGTCACTAACAGAAAAAGATTGGGAAACTCTGTCCAACGAAATTAAAAGTAGTTTAAATATTGTGTAGGGTGTGGACCTTGGAAGTGTTATACATCTATAGTGTAGAAGTGAAACATTTTTGGATGAAAGAAAAGACACGATAAAGAACGAGCCACGTGACTTCTAGTTCTTCCGGCGTGTATTTGACGTACGGTCGCTCCGCCCTTCAACTTCCTCTTTTACTGTGGCAGTGAGCGAGAGACACCATGAAGGCGTCCGGCACAGTACGTAAAAACCTTATTTTAGTGTCTAATTATAAGCATAAAGACCTTAAAGGGCTCCAGTGAATGCGTTTAGAACCGTTTCAAACATCATCCATCTATATGACGAAGTAGAACTGCATCTTGACATCTCTATGATCTTGTACTTACGGAGTTTTAGCGGCTACAACATGGCGTCGACTGCACCATGTGGACGATGGGGTTTGTAATGGGATTCAGTGTGTCCAATTCATGCCCCTTTTTCTTATGCCTTAAACACGCTAAATGATTCATGGCTCTGTGTCGTATTCATCGGGTAATTAAAGTGGTATATAAAACCGATAATGCAAATTTCATGCTGATCATTGTAGCAATTCAGATCAACCACCGTCGTTTTTTTTGTCTTTGTTTTATCAAATATGACCATAGCTCTTTATTAGTTGTATCCATATTTGAGAGGCCTAATCTTAAAACATGCACCCAAACCCAAAGTTCATATCTTAATAATGGTATGATCTTGTCTGGTGTGCAAATAGTAAATCGTTCCTTGTCGCCTTTCTCTGTTGCTGCTCATGTGCCTTTGAAAGTGAATTCAAGGATCCATATTAGAGCCCGACCGATATGGATTTTGTTGTGACCGATATGAAACTGATATAATGGGAGTTGGAGCTGCCGATAGCCGATATAATCGCCGATATATTTAGTGATGTAAAAATTCACTGTAAATCTTGAATTGTTTAAAAAATTTAGGTTTGGCTCTAGTGGATTCTAAATTGGGTTTATTTAGGCAACATTTATTGTTATTCTGACTCTTTACATCATATTTACAGACAGTAGATTGGCCTAATGGCATTTTTGCATCACATTCTAGCTACTAGTGATGGGTATTCCAGTTTTTTGTTTTTTTTTGGAGAACCGGCTCTTTTGGCTCGGCTCATTAAAGCAGTTGGCTCTTTCGGCTCCCAAGCGACTCTTGAGATTGTTTTGTTGCAAGCAGGACTAAACCAGAACTGAACCAGGACTGAAAAAGGACTAAACCAGGACTAAAACAGATTTAAACCATGTGTAAAACAGGACTGAACCAGGACTGAGTGTCGGGACTCGGTTTCTATCTCTCTCTCGAGCCAAAGATTAGTCCTGCTTTATTCATTTTATGCTGAAGTGCAGCCAAATATGCACTTTTTTATCCTATGCACACGCAGATTTCTGAAAATTTCGTTTTCAGCCGCTGCTGCTGTCAAACTACGGGTCTACATGCGGCTTGAAGAGAAAAAGTGAGAAAAAGAGAAAACACGGCTCCCAATAAGAAACATGCTCCCGTTGTTCGCTTCAAAGAGCCGGATCTAAGAGCCGTTTCGATCGCGATATACCCATAACTCCTAGTAGTAGCTAGTAAACTATCGCTATTAGCCTTTAGCCGTAAAAACGTGCGCACCGCGGTAATTAATTATATGCATAAATGTGGATCATTCACACGTCTATTCACAGCTCATTTACATATCAATGCTGGTCCAGTAACAAATGTACGGACAATATAGTCACTTTACAATAGGCCAATAGAAAACAGCCTGTTTATGTGCGGGAGCTACAGCAGCTAATCACTAATAACAAATAGCCAAAACTATCTTCAGAGTCGATGTATTTCCAACACTCACCGCTCACACAGGCTCCTCCTCACATCACAAGTCTGCACTAATAAAAGTTTTAATCCAGACTCAAACCGATTGTCCGTAAAAAGAATATAATATCAGTGTTGCGCACCGCTGCGGGTGTAAACAAATACACGCGAGTGAAGTGACGTCACTCTGGTGGTGTGTTCAGGGACAGTACGGACACAGACAAATTACACCGCAATTAAATACTGATGCGGAGCCACATATTAGGACATTTATCTGTCTATAAATTGGATTAAATGAACATAATGTAGAGAGCCTAAGCTTTATAACGAGGTATAACATGCCCACGTGAAATATCGGCCCTTATCAGCAAGCATATCGGCCGATAGCCGATATGTCTCCAGGTGCCCATGTTGGCCGATAATATCGGCCAGCCGATATATCGGTTGGGCTCTAATCCATATGTTCAACTTATGCCAACAATGTTTGTGTCAAACTCGTAACATACTAAAATGTTTTATTTTTATTGTCAGCTTAGGGAGTATAAAGTCATTGGGCGGCTGCTGCCCTCTGCCAAGAACCCTGCACCTCCTCTCTATCGGATGAGGATTTTTGCGCCTAACCATGTTGTGGCCAAGTCTCGCTTCTGGTACTTTGTGTCTCAACTGCGAAAAATGAAGAAGGCATCTGGAGAGACTGTCTACTGTGGACTGGTAAGCTTTAGAACATTTGTTAAGTTTAAATTATAATGTCAGTGGTTTAATTTTGGTGTCTGATTTTACCATTTCAGGTTCATGAGAAGACCCCACTGAAGGTGAAGAACTTTGGCATCTGGCTGCGTTATGACTCTCGTAGTGGCACCCACAACATGTACAGAGAGTACAGGGATCTGACCACCTCTGGAGCAGTCACTCAGTGCTGTAAGTTGCATAAACCACAACCATGCTTGACAATTTCTTGAATGTTTTATTCTGTTTTGCTTTGTTATCATGTTGTATATGAAAGTTTGCATTGTAATGCGAACTAGGGTGAAACTTGACTTTGTAATAACTTCTATAAAAAACCCAACCTGGTATTTTGGTTTATCATTCCCTGCTTCTCTCTGTGCAGATCGTGATATGGGAGCTCGCCACCGTGCTCGTGCTCATGCCATCCAGATCATGAAAGTCCAGATTATCCCTGCCAACAAATGCCGCAGACCTGCCATCAAGCAGTTCCACGTGAGTATTTCTTCAAATGACGCGACAAGGCGGGTCTCTCATCTGGGCTGTCTATCATCGTCAGAGCCAGTTAACAAACCCGCAATAGAACTGGCCAGTCCTCTTCCAGCTTTTGTTTTCACCAAAAGATCTGGTGGTTAGAAACTGGCAACATATTACATGATACATTCAAGAAAACAAGTAAATTGACTGAGGAGTTTTTACTTGCACTACCTTAAATTGTCTGTCACAAGCAGTTTATAATTGCAAATATTATTTCCCTTGTGGAGCAATAAAGTTTCCAATGTCTGTCAAAATGATTTTCTACAGAAATCTTTAATATTTCCTTTGACCAGAACATTGATATATTGTGGTCATGTTCAAAGAATGGAGGATACTCAGGGTCATGCTGTTGGTTGATTATCAAGTCACCGATTTATATAATTTACTTACCAAAACTTTTTTGTTCTTTTTAGGACTCCAAGATCAAGTTCCCCCTGCCCCACAGGGTCCTGCGTCGTCAACACAAACCACGTTTCACCACCAAAAGACCAAATACCTTCTTCTAAATATATGTATGTGGTTTTGTGCAGAAATAAAATTACAAAAGTACACATTAGAAGTCTTTTGTTTTCAGTAAATTTGGTAAGAATGAATGGGCAGTGAGTTAAGTTTGGGCTGTAAATGTGGCCAATAGGTTTTTAACTTGCTAACTCTACAGAAGGTATTTTACAGTGTCATATAGAAGACTTGATTTGCGTAGGTCCACCACCTGCAGGTAAATGTATTAACCACTGATCTAACCCAAGTCCTGCGTTTGACTTGGCAGGTGTAATGTTTAAGAAATGTACGGTGTAATTACTGGGTGGGTACTAATCACAATGGGGGGACACTAAAGTGGAAATGCAGCATTGAAGCTGTCTTGTCAAAGTGCAATAGACTCAATGAGGTCAATCCTGCTATAAAACTGAAAGACAGCTTTGGGTTTTGTAGTTTTCATAGGAAATGGGCATATGATTACCTAGATCTTGGAACATGACTCAATCTCAAAGTGTGAAACTGCAGTAGTGCACATTTTGTCCAGAGGATGGCAGTGTAGTTTCATAATTGTTGTACGCCAACATCATCTGTGTTCATAAAGCATTAGGCAAAGAGTTGTAATCTGGCAAATGTACAAGATTTGCTTTCAGCAGAGGAACTTCAGATGTACCATATAAACCCCTCAAGAAGATGGTCAATATAATATTCAGGCAAAATGCAACCATTAAACACAAATCTACATTTGAATGTGGCGGCTTGGTAAACAGGAGGTCATAGCTTCACAGTTTGTGGTCTGCATTAAAGAATAAGATCAACCACTGTCATAGCCTCTAATGCTTAGGGATCATAAGTAAGTCAGTGGCGTTATAAGATCAACAGTATCTTAAAGGGAAAGTAATACTTTAATCAGTGAGCTTGGCTCAAAACTAGTATTCCAGATGAAGTTGTAAACATTGCAGATTATAAAGTGTTCAGATGAAGGGAAAAGCAAGGGAGGTGGCATTTTGATGTTAAGGACATCTTAAAAATGTATTTATGCATCATCTGAGCTCCTTGTATTAGAAGATCTCAACTTAGACTGGCTACCTTCTAAAGCCGATACATCAAGGAATATTTGCTATGAACTAAACTGAGAACTGAAACAAGGCCAAATAAAATATAAATGGCATAATTCCACATCGATTG